ATAACTTATCAATGATAATAGCAATAAAAAAGGGTATATAGTAGTACCAGTAACATTGATATTGAGAATTACAACAAATAGAAAACGATAACAATGATAGTAATAATACAATGTCAATTATGCACACATTTTGTGACCAGTGGATACTTACACTGTATATAGCAATTCCTTTGGATGAGCATTGCCCCATCAGTTCAGTGGTGTAATCTTTCGTCATTTTTTTTGTTATGAACTATCAAAGTTAATCTATAACTTGAATAAATTGATGTTGATTTTAATTTTGCTATTTTAATTTCCAATTTTAAACTCAGTTGACCTTTAAAGGAATTTCTAGTTCTTCAGCTAGATACAACAAAGTCCATATGAGTCCTCAACATAGTAACCTAAAAGTAACCTCGTTTTCTACCAGGTTTGTAAATGTTGCCCTGCAACAGCATTTTAAATAGTAATGGAGAAGTCTCACTAAGGCTTATGTTGAGCAAAGGATGGAAGGTAGCAGAAATTTCTCAAATCTGAGGAGGGACATTGATGCTCATCAGAGGAATCTTCGAGCCAAATCAAGACATAATCTCCAGTGTAAGCTTGCTGTGTCTCTTATGTGCAAGAATGGCAAATGGTAAGTCTCAAGATCATACTGGCCCGTAACTGACGAAGCTTATGGATATCCCGGTTTCAAAAGCATATTGCAACCAGGAATATTGACTAACACTCCTGCACGAGATGCCTGTCACTAAACTCAAGGTCGGAGGCATTTGTCAGAAAACAAGAGTTGGACAGAAAGGTAAAGTATTACTTATACTTTTCAGTATTTAATGGTACCACTTATGTTACCTCACATGCGATATTCCTCACGTTCTTACCCTTGAAATATATTATGTGTAATCATATGATAGAACAGTTTAGATTCGTTACAAAGAAACAAATGTTCCAGTTTATATTTCTGGATTGGTGAGGCATTGCGACACAACGCAAGCGCCCTATCCAGGGCTCGTACTTTTGCCTCACGATCTCGTGAGTCAAGCGTGCAAACCTTTAAGCCCAATGTCTCCAACATGAAAGTAGTGTTGGTGAAATTTAGGTTTTCCAAATAACTCACGGACTGCAATGTTATGCATCGTTGAAATGTATAGTGCTGAGTGACGTTTTACGTCGAGAGAGAGAGAGTTATCAGCAAAATCAACAAATTAATTGCCTTCGTTATCTTTACTGTCTTTACGGAGATAATATTTCTTCAAATAACCTTATCCTGTCTCTGAGCGCTACACTTAACTACAGACGCCTTACTCTTTGATCTCAACACCATTTCATAAAAATAGACAGTCAAAGACTGCTTGTTGCTACTGATATAGCACAACTTTTATAGCATTGAAAAGAACAAGAGGTTGTGTAATGATGCTAGAAGGTGGTGTTGTAGAAGATTTGTCTCACATGCAAAACAGAGAACCTGCCGCATCCCACATATCTAAGAGTACCCTTCCACAAGGAAAAGATGATTCAATAATATATTGTCCAATTGACATTCAACTGATAATTGATTGGTAACAAATAATAATAATAATGGTAATAGTAAATGATAATAATAATATTAATAATAATGATGATAACAATTATACTACTTATAATAATTGTGATAAATATACTACTACTACTACTACTACTACTAACAATAATGATAATGATAATAATAATAATAATAATAGTAATAATAATAATAATGATAATAATAATAGTAATAACAATAGTCTTATGATAACGATTCAAAGGGGCCAGCTCGAAAGCCTCGCGATTCCCAATCCCCTTGGCTCTAACAGCAATGACCTGTGCTTCTCTTAATTTCGCCTATTAGTTGTAAATAATTTCGTATTTTATTTCAATTCCATTTTTTTAGACTTTTGTTTCATACAAAAAGGCATTCGGCGTTTTAGGATATTCCGTCATTTCGCGTCTTCAGATATTCCGCCATTCAGCCGATCTACCGTTCCCCGTTGTACCGTTCCATTATTCTGTTGTAGAACTCAAGGTATCAATTTAATTCGCTGCATGATCGACCCCACGCGATTCGGCATAAGTCGCTGAATTAAAATGCTCTCTTTTCAAAGAGAAATGATTTTCCTTTAAGCTTCCACGATGTGTACATCGCATGTATTTTTGCAAGGAAAAGTTTTGAATTAAAATATACGTCGGTGCATACCACTGAAAAATTATTTTGAGATGTTTATCATCTTTTGAAGTGTCACGGCAAGAACTGCTTATATCTTCGGATCTACATAATTTGCTGTTTTAAACGGTAAAATGCTTCCAAAAAAAATTTCTATAAGTTTCTTGATCACCGATCACACATATTAAGACATTTCTGCATGAAAAACTTGTATATAATGGCGCGCAATCTTTAAATGCTTGTGAGATGTTTATCCTCTTCTGCTGTCTTCCGTAGTGTCACGGCAAGAACTGAGAACATAATGCGCTGGTGGCTATAAACCAGAAATCAGAAAAAGAAGAGATCTTAACTGTGTATCGAGTGCGAATGTCGAATTTCTTAGATGCTCTGAAAAAAACAATTCGTAGCACCTGGAAACATCGGGTCAATATTGGGTCAATGTTACACTCACTTGCTCGCTCACTCTCACCCACTCACTCACTAACTCATCTCGACGACATATGTGCCTTCGTCTTCTATCGGAGGCAGTAGCCGCAAAAACACTCTTGGCTGACACTTCATTGTTTTTCTTTCCAGAACAAATAAAACGAAATCGGCTCCTTTAAGAGCCAAAAATTATTCTGAAGGAATGACCAACGTTTTAGTTCAATACTCGTACTCGTGTGTCGTCAGGCCCAGTGTTCCATGGCGACTAAAGAAATAATCATAATACTACTACTACTACTACTTCTACTACTACCACTAATAGTAATGATGATTATAATAATGATGATAACGATGATGATGATGGTGATAATGATAGATGATAAAATACTCATAATAATAATAATACCAATGATAATAATAATAATAATGATAATAATGACGAGCCGAATGATTAGAGGGTAAACTTTTATTATAGGGGGCGAACAAGCAAAGGTAGCAGCAGGGGCGACCTTGCAATGAGGCGAATTCACCAGTCACTGATTCAGAGGCTTCAAATGCGGTTAAGACATAGACCGGTTTCAGCGATAAAGTTATCACATATGTGTATCAGTCAATTTTCTCGTTTTGAAAATACTAGAACAGGCAAAGTGAAGACCACTTTTTAAGACCTCCAGTAGACCAAGGAAGGCATTCATTGTATTCCGCACTGAGCGTGTTGCTCTGTAAATCCAAAAGTGTCTGTCTTCATGACCGCTCGATGATTTTCAGAGAAACAGTAGCTCCAGATTTTTCCCTTTTTTTTTACTTCATCAAATAGGAAGTCTTTGAGTAGAAATAGAGCATTTCAATGGCAAAGTTAGAGAAAAATCCCATCGTTTTCAGTTCAATGAAAGGGTAGCATGCTGAATGCAGATTTTGAAAAGCGTCGAGTGTTAATCGCACAACCTAGAGGTCTCACGGAATTTGAAACTACAAACAACGCGTGCAAAGCATGCTATTCAACGGTCGTTAATATCTTTATTAATTTGAGAATTGTGGTAATCAATGGTAGAACTTAAACAGTTATTGTTTAGTTATTTATCTTCTGTCTTATCTCAAAAATGATCGGGCTTAAATGCCAATAGAAGGAATAAGAAAAATAGAAAGGGAATGCCGAAGGCAGTGTGAATGAAGAAGGTGATCAATTGGAGGAGGTTATTTGGATTAAACAACAAATTCAAAGCACAAGCTAACAAGGTGATATGTTGACATCAGATAGGCGAACCAGCTTCCAAATCTCTGAAAATACTCCTCCAAAATGCAATTTTTTTAAGAATAGGTGATCCTTATTAATTGCTGGAGAGAGTGTAGACGTAAATCAAATGATAAACCCAATTTGAATAATTTATTTCCGGAAAAACGAAAAGTCCCAAATTTTTCATATTATTAGAATTTCTAACTACTCTTCCTCTATCTAAAAACATTACGCTATCGACATTGCTGATGAAGGCACTAGGCAGGAGTGTTGAAACGTTGGGTCTATGAATTGTAACTTCTTCGGTTAAATCTGTAAACCAGAGTAGCATCAAACCATGTCTGACATTGCTGATCTTAGCAGTATGCAGGACGCGTGTCATATGAACTTCGTAATAGACCCCGCTCACCGTGGAGTCTCAGTGGTAGAGCATCGGAGCGCGGAATCCGAAGGTCTGAGGTTCGATTCCTTATGGGGACTCGGAATTTTTTCTTTGTCCCACGCTCGTGACAAGACGAAAAGACATCTTTCTTTATTTCTTTACCGAACTCAGAAACTTACCAACTCTCTTATTTCTATCTACTCTTCCTTTGTTCGCCAAGTTTATCCATCTCCATTCCCACCTGGTCTTTGAACTTACAGACCACGGGGAATAACAATAACGGCGCAGCCAATGCTCAGAACGTCATTGGCCGCTAAAACAAACATAATAACCTTATCTTGTTTACTTTGATCCGATTACAGCTGCCATCCTTTCCTATTGTAATCAAGACATTGCATGAATTTGGTACACAAGTCATAATGTTCTATACAGTGTACCATCTTTCATTTATCTTCAGCTATTATTAGCATTTTGTAAGATGCTTGTGACAGGCGATCAGTGTATGTATCTTCCACGTTGCTCAGTCGTTTGTTCGATTCCTCTTTCGGAGAAAATCCTTATATTTATTGATAAGACGTATTCTGATCAGGATCAAACACGTTTTATTTATGATGTCTCGAATAAGGTTTTTACCTTAAACCGGATAAACCAGGGGTTAGAACTGAGACACTAGATCTTCAGTTTTTACGAATTCTTCGGTACAACCCTCAATTTAACAAAAGTTGAGAAATCAGTCAAATGCAGTCTCTACAACTAGTCATTTTATTTTTCGACGAAGGCATTCGAAACTTGTAAATCTTAGCATTGTTATGTTAATTTTACAAGTTTGATTTTTTAATTATGGAGTGAAGTGTCATCTTGAGTGCATTAAGTTAATTGTGATGAATAATGCTTCCGTGATCTTCTTACTAACGGAAGATTTGAGTTGATGAGTCCATAATTGTTGATGATGTCATGAGTAAGGTTTTCTTATACAACATTTCTTTCTCTATTTTTGCCTTCAACTTTTCACACCTGGTCCTGCGGTGGACTTAAAACCTATTACATTTTTTCAAGTACTTTTATTCACATCATTGTTTTAACAATAAAAAGTGCTTTTTGTACTCTCTTACGAACAAGTTATTTTCGTCAATCTATTTTCTTATTTCACGTTTTCGCCCTTTTCGCATGATTAGGAACTTCTGAGTTGGTGATTTTCAGTTAAAGTTAATGTTATGTTGTTACTTTTTGGAAACTGATGGCTCTTACCTTTCTTTGCTCTCCCGATCGAAACTTAACAATATGAAAAATCTAACCCAGTTATTGATGAAGTACAGTTTTGACCATTGCACTGAGTTTTTTTTACTGCGGTTTTTAATTGGCAGATGGCATAGTGAAACCGTTCAGTTGTCAAACAAATTAAAGCTGCTGTGTGTAATGTTCTCATTTAAAATATAATCTTTATACCATATGTATCATAATCTTATTATCATTTTGGTTTGTACTGGACAAGGACCATGTTTCTTATAGTTTTGTGAGGGAATCAATTTTATATACATAATAGGCTCCGTGTGTGAGAACTCTTTGTTATGTGTGGGTTTTTGCTCAACTTATTGAATGTTCTGGAAAAGGTTCATATGAGATCTTGAATCACGCAAGTATTTCCTTGGTGCTTCCTGTAGCATTTATCACTTACAACCTGTTAACATGGGTTACTATGAAACATTTTTGGAATTTTCTTGGCTTGAATGTGGCTGGAGCTTTATATTATCCAGTTTAAAGACGAATCGGCTTGCGTGTATCGCATTTTCACTTAAACAGACTCGAAACATTTAGACACCTGTAAGACTGGAATATTCTCACGCCATCGCGTGACTTAGCCTCATTATCTCAATGCGGGCTACCCCTTTTTGACCGCTGATTACGCCTTAAATGGTTTCTTCGATTTTACGGCCATTAAAGCTGTCTATTTCGGGAAGTATAATTACCCCCTCCTGGTCTTTAACTAAGTCTCTCGTCTGTAAGTAACGATTAGCAATCAGCTAGTCACGAAATGGATACGGCAAAGTTATGTAAACATTGGAAGTTAGAACTGGTTATGCATCATTTTGTTGCCATTCTAGAACTTCTAAGGTGTCTTGATGAATGTAGCAGAGTCATCTCTCCACTTTAATGTTGATCAACTGTACAAATAGCCCTGTATTCCTCAGGCATTGCGTAGACACCCATAAGTGAATGACACAGATGATTGACTCAACACGCGATGATAAACTGTTTTGGTTTCTCTTACTTCAGCTTTTCCTTTGTCCTCCCATTAGTTTCTTTGTTCCCTTCACACTTCGTTGTACACTGAAGTGTTTTCGTCTATTCCGGATACTTAATTTCTACAGTTGCCCTAGTGCCACTACACAACTAACGTAAAAGCACTTCTGTTCTCTCACGAAATGTTTATGTCGCGCTTCGGAGACTGCGTGTTGTAACTTGATTTTATGCCAGTTGGCGGTCCATTCTTTTGTGCTTCACGAGGCTACACTTTGTGCTGTCGTTGTGTTTGCTTTCTGTTGAGCTGACGCAGAGAGATCTGCTCTCTCGCTAATCTGTATTGCCAAGGTGAGATAAGCACTATTTAATAGAGGGTATAAGTCCACATCCTGTTACATCATTTCTCCCATACGAACTTTTCCGGTGGCTATAATGAGCAAATACTTAAAAACAGCTCCCACTTTAGCCCGAAATACTAGATAATATATTTATTCCCCAGTTTACTTTTCCTTTCTTTTCTTTTTCTTTTTGTTTGTAATGAGCGTTAATCAATTTGTTCTCAGTTCACTCCCTATGCCTTTGTGCAGGTATGTTTTAGCTATCATTTTAACTCTTACTGGGCATTGCCCTCTAAGAACGCTCGCAGCACAGGCGCGCAGGTATTACTTCACTTTACCAAATCTCCGCCCATACAGTCAGTACATTTTAGAGATTACTCTTACAACTTACGTACGGGAAGTGATATTGGCTAATCCCAATTTCATTTGCTCTAAGCTACACTATTTACCGGATGGTTTTAAAAGTAAGGCAAATGAAAATTTGTTTTGCTATTTTTGAACACTGGCTTTAAATATGGATACAAAATAATAATTTCGGTTGTTTTTCAAGCCTCTGGGTGGTTGAGGTGAAGTACTTGTACACTCTCTACCCTCTATTACTGAATTCTCTTAGATGTAATGTAATCCGGTTGCCAATCTGTTAACTAAGCTAGAATTGCTTTCTGTTAGTGTTAGCCTGCCCGGCCATAAGCTGTCTGATAGAAATAGAGCATCTGTAATATAAGTAAGAGTACTGTGCGTCAGCAATGGGTATTCGTTGTTAGTACGGTATTTCACAGGACATCTTTTTATTAGTACTCAGGTCTTTAAGCTGAAAACTAGCTTTAGGACACTGCCTTTGATCAAGTAACTGTTGTATTGTACAGTATTGTTGGTCTATGGTGACACAATGGAAATATGACAGTCTTAAATACACCCTACGAGAGTCACATCTAGCTATTGAATGTGAACGTTCTTTGTCCGCCACCTTGAAACGTTTTAATTTCTTGCATGGTCTCAAAAATAAGTCATCGGGTCTAGGAGGGTGAAAGCTATTAGCTTTTGTATGAGTCAGGGAACACCTTCGCGCAAGACCGTTAGGCAGCTATTCAGCAATGCGTTTGATTCCAGTCGTTTAATATGTCAAATCAATTGGGTTTACATTATCTCTGGGAAATAAAGCATAAAACTCAATAGCAAGATTGTCCAATCGTAATGAGATTTTCTAAAGGGTTTTTTGTATTCATTAATGAAACATCACTGATAAAAACAGTTGGATAGAAATGTCAATTAATTTCAAAAAACACAAGGTAAAAAATCATTATGATCATATTATAATCAACTGGAAATTCCAGAAACATTTACTATGTCTGTGATTCACCAGTTCAAAATGAAAATGCATGTTGCATTATTCGGAGGATGGCAAATTAAGTTTAATTACATGGAGCAGAAAACTTTAGATTTCCCTCTTAAACGGCTAAACAAATCACTACTCCCTTCAGACTGTTTGGCGATCATTTTTTTGATATCACAGAATTATTACTATGTATGTGGATTTTCTTTGATGAAGAGTGGATTACAGATCACTCCAACCATAGGGAGCTGAGGACTCGCTTTCTCCTGGGGACTGAAAGTGTTTCATTTGTTCTGCAAAACTGATGCAAGGGTATTTCATTCTTAAAAAAGAAAGAAAAAAACAAATGAAAAACAAAAAAACACTAGATGGGCTGAATAGGTGCATGGAAATCATGCAGGAAGCCAACTCATCGCCAAAAAATAGTGAAATATAAGTTTATTTTCACTTGCTGGCATTATGTGGCGAATCATTGTTCATCCTCTGTCTTCGCTTGTCAGACCGCAAGAAAAGAGCTGAGGCCAAAGCTAGTATCAATCTCGTTGTAAACTGTGTGGTGTATTGCTGAAATAACGTATTAGAAATCTATTAGTGTGTCTGTGTGAGGAAAGTCTATTGTGAAAAGTCCTTCAGGTTTAAGGTTGTTTCATATACTGTTTGTGAAGGGTCTAGGAATCTTCAATATCTAGCTTCTTATTGTCTTCACGCGCAACAAAGAACCGATTTTTGTCTTGGTGGATACAAAAAGCGCCGAACATGTCCTAAATACGTGCCCCGAAATATCGCAACAAATCTGCTGGCTTACTGATTAGATGCGTTGGGATTTAAACGGCGTATGCACTATTTCTGAAAACATTTCTTTATTACAGATGAGATAATGGTCAAGACCCATACAACTTTAAAATTAATTACACTTTCTTACCATGTAGTCTTTTTTTGATTGACATTAGATTGAAGATCTAAAGGAGAGTCCCAAAAGTGTCTTAGTGTGAATAAGCAAAGTGAAGCCATCGGCTTTGCCAATCAGTTTAATTGTGAGTATGTAGTGATCCTTCAAAATTGTGAAACGGTGGTGATTAGAAAGTTACTACTTTTATCCGAGTTTTAAGGTGGCGGCCTCGAGTTTCTGGCAAATTTGTCTGATTTAAATCTGTATCGAAGGTAACAGGTTAATTTTCTTTGAATTTATCTCTTACAACAGTTAAACGAATGACAAGATTTTTATCACAGCATGTATTAACCACTTAGGTCATTATCAGAAATGCCTTCTATTTGTTATGTCTTTCTTTAGCACACGCGCCCTACAGGTGCAGTTGGGAAAAATTTGCGCAATTTACACGCCCCACAGGTGCAGTTTGGAAAAAAAAAACACTGCGCTATTCTTTGCCCTATTGCTTTGTGTGCTACAAGAAGTTTGACATGATGGAAAATTTTTCTCTTAGAGGTTCTAATGTGGCTAATTCTCCGTAAGACTTGTAAACTTTTAATAAGGGTTTATTAAAAACGTTATTTTCATAGTAACTTTTGTTATCTCTCCCCTACTTCTGTCTGTAAAGAAATTAAACGTGTCTAGCGGTAAAAGTGATTTTTCTTTTAAAAGTTCCGAAGTTTCATTGAGATGACCGCTTTTAGCGCCAGTTAAAAGATAAAAAAACAACGTTATATAATTTCAATTTGGTGATACTCTTTAGAATCTGTCGACAGAACTGTTTTTTTTCTTGGTTGGCTTTGAATCTGAAAATTAGAAAGCTTTTTTAAGGCGTTGAGCCTGAAGTTAAACCAAATTAGAATTTACGAATTGTCTCAGATACTGGAGTTGTTAGCTGTAACACGTGCTGTGTTTGTAAAATTGTACACATGCATCACTGATAATTGCTATGGAGGGTTATGTATTCCTCTCTGTGATAGCACATTGAACAAATTATGGGCTATCGCAGAGATATTAGGAACTTCAAAATTAGATATAATTTGCATATTTTTCATATGACACTGACTATTTGTGTTTTCCCTGGGAGATATACTTTACGATTTACTGCCATTTTCCTTTATCATTAGCAACTTTAGGGAACTTTTTGTTTAAGTCATGTTACACCAGAAGGGATTTCATTAATTTTCAGCAAGTTTTGAAAACGTTTAAGCGAACTTCGGCCCTTCTTTAAGTTGAAATATTTGTTCTTATTTCATTAAAAAATAGAATGATTTAAGAATGGGCATTATTGCGACATTCTGTATCGTTGTAACATTTATCCAAGTCGATATGAATTATTTTCCTAGGAAGTTTTCTAAAGTACAATTTATCCTTCAATCATGGTTGTAAATATGTTCATCGGTTATGTAGTTTTGTCATCGTTTCCTTTTATTATCGTTGTGATAATCTAATTTATTTCATGTAACGTTCTTAAGTGCCAACCAATATGAAGTGTACTTAATATTCGGTTTTATGTCTGAAAACGTCTATATTTGTGAGGTAATGCCTTAAAACGTCAATTTTCAGTTCACATCTTTTCTCAAGCTTATCATTCAGTCTCACTCATTTTTAAAGTATTGAAAACTGAGAAAATTGTCGACCTGAAAGAAATAGATGGTATTCCGTAGATCAGAACTCTGAGTGCTCCAATGATAAGACTGAGTCTTTTGTGATTGGAATTGGGCAGCTTCAAATTGTCACTCTTTTGAGCTACGTCGATCACAGGCATTCTAACTATCTTTTTTCTTCAATCTAGAATCATCCTGCACAGCTACTACAACTTCTCGTTTGATTTATTATCTTGAATGCAATTCTGAGGTATTTTAGGAACGCTAGATTCTACACGAATTTTCAAACTTGCAGTTTGGACGTTTTCGTTATTTTTTTTATCACGTGAGTTCATAGCATCAAATACAAAATACACTTGTTAAATACCGAAATGCAACCGCTAAAAGGATTTTCAAGTATTGTCCTTGATGTAGTTGTGATCAAAACAAGTCCTAAGCGTTTCATTTTTTTTTGCTTTTCTTTGCACCCGCGACAAATATATCAAGTGGACTCTTTTGAACTTTAACAACGAGGGAGCTATCAGTTGTTGAATTATTCTACGCGAAAATAATCGCAATTATTGAAGGTCAATTCATTCTCAAAACACCTGAATTATCACGGTCCTGGATTCGTGATCATGGTCAGCAATAAGCAATACCACCTGGTTAATTGCATGCGTCTAGCGTTTCATGTTCTGACTTTGAGTGTCATGTGATGGTGTTGTAGTCATCTAGCTGAGGCGTAATATCATTTAGAAAGGGAGAAAAAAAAAATCGAAAATGAGATTCCGCGATTCTTATTGATTATTTCATGACGGTCGTGGCGTCTTACAGTGACTATGACAAATAGGTTCTCTAGCTTCTTTCTTGCAATTGGTTTCCTAGAGTTCTTAAGCGCACCGCTCTGAATAAGCTTGCAAAGTGGGTAATATCCACCCTACATATTTTCCACTTGCACTGATTATTTTTGCCATCGAAGTTATATTGATATCAAAATCTAAATATACATATATGTTGCCAGTTTTGCTTACTCATTTTTGTTTACTGGTTTTGTTTTTAAATAGTAGATTTCGTCAGGGGATAAATATCGGCTTTGGGCGATCGAGTGTCCTCAAGTAGACTTTTATCGCCTGTACGTCATAGATACCCAGCGCGTGAGAACC